ATGAGTTCTGTTCTTATGGACACTTATTTTCTAGCACAAACTAACAGGTAAACTTTAATTTACAATACAGAACTGCTTGAGCACCACAATATAAACGGCATTGATGAAAAGTGAAAAAATAGCACCTATATGATGTTAACTTCCTGATATGCTTAAACTTCTTTGTCACATACTACTTACAACCTCTTCTCAAACCATAATGTTATGAACTTACAACAGAATCATCCAAGGCAAGACTTTCATGACACAATCTAACTGTTGGGCCCGTACTCGCACGGGCTGCCTTAATCGAGTCATATATATATAGTGGCGGAGCCATAAATTTTATTAAGGGTATCCAAGAATAATGGTGTGTGACTGTCAAAATAAAACAAAAAAATATTTTGTTATTTGGGGTTTGAGCCCAAAACTTCTTCATTCAAATGGACACCTATTACAACTATGTCAAAGACTCAAAGACATAACTTTTGGCAAGGATGTCCAACTATATATATATATATATCTATACTTAAGATGTAAAATTTGACATATATATATACAATGTAATTTTTCGATCATCGATATCCAGTTGGACACAAGGGCGGAGCTACAGCCTGATAAGGGTGTGCACGTGAACACCCTTCGTCGGAAAATCACACTGTTTACGTAAGCCAAAATTTATTAAATACAAATATATAATTCATTTTACACAACCTTAACATTAATAGAGGCTTTGGCACAGTGGAAAAGATGTTCAAAAGGAATGCTGAGGTTGCTAGTTCGAATCTTGTTGCTATTATTTTACTTCTTTTGTTTGGCAAAATCATACAATCCTTTGTGGGTCCACCTAATCTCAAGTTACTCTCTATTTTATATTTATTTTCTCCATTTCAATTTATATGACATTGATAATTATTGGGCTTTATATTATTTTTTATATAATTTTTAAATATATAAATTTTGTTTCAAAAGCTATTATTTCTGAATTCACGATCTAAGTTTAAAAATTTTAATCTCGAAATTTTAAGTATGCTGCATAAATTGAAAAAGGAAAAATAATAAATTTAACTCAAACCTTAGTTTGGATATATATATTTGATATAAAATAATAGTTTAAATGAGTTTCTACTTTAAAAGAATTAGAAAAGAGGTTATATGCAATTATATTTTCTCCATTTTCCTCTAAGTAGGTCATCCGGAGGTTTGAAAAAAATATTCATAAGGGGTTAATTTTTCATAGTTTCATAATTGAATTTGGAGATTTGAAACTTTTAATTAGAATTCACACATTTTCTATTAGAATAAAAGAAATTTAATATATATACATTGAAATAAAAAAGTAGGGTAATCGATAGGCTGAAAAGTAACTTTAAATTTAAGTAAAAATTAATAATTTTTTTTTTGAATATGTGCAGGTGTTCAATAAAATCTCGACCCATTCATTATAAAACTATTATTTCAATTGATATAACTTATCATGTATTTTTGAAAGCAAACCAAATTAGAGATTTTTTTCCAGACGTTGTGTTTAGTGGAATTTTTTTTATTGACGGTGTTGATAGTAAAGTTGTTAGGTAGAACAAGATGGATATAAATCCACACCAAAAAAAATTGTTTGTTGCCTTCAAAAATTTTGCACACCCTTTATAAAAAGTCTAGCTCCGCCACTGGTTGGACACCCTTGGATAGCTCTAGCTATGCCCCTGTTAATATATATTTCGGTGATGTGGTGCAGAGGATGGATTCTCATTCATTTATTTTTACAATTTTTTGCATTTTTTTTTACAAATTTAAAAAAATGAAAAACAATAGGATGAAAAGTCGAAAAGAAAGTAAACAGTGTGAAAAGACACATCCATAATTGAAGAATGAAGAGTCCAAAAGGCACTAAAACAATCTATTTCTTTCTTGTACTTCATTCTTTGAGAATGGAGGGTCAAAAACTAGCGCACATGGAGAGTAAGATGAAAGGAATTTGAAACTTGTAGCATAAATTATCCTTTGCTATTTAATCCCATCCCACATATGATATTTTTGTGCAACGGCGCATCTTTCAATTATATATTATTATGCATTTATTGCTTATAGTTAGTTATCTATACACCATCATCTGATTTTTTAGGATGTAGTTGTTGAGGTTAATATCTCAAAACTTTTTAGCATCATTAAACTTTATTTTGTATGATTAAAATCACTCAATTGAAACTTTTATATCATCACTCAATTAAATTTACATTAAAAAAGTGTGACCAGTATAATTTTGTTTGGCATTATCCGCCTCTTTGATCAAGATTTGGTTAAATATGTATTAAATGGGCATAGAGATGCTTCCTCTATATTTCAAATTAATTTGATAATATTCTGCACATCGGTTTCATAGTTATCTCTTTTATTAACTCTCTCTGTTATGATTATAATTACTTAAAAGTTACATTCATTTTACAAAACTTTCCTAACATAAATCTTCTTTTCATCTATGAAAAGATAGAAAAAGTGATGTTTTACTACTTTATAAAAATATCAATCAATATAAATAAGATTTAAAAAAAAAAGACAAATATTGCAAAGCATATTCATAAGCTAACTTAATGAGATTATTTATGTATGTGTGAAGTGTGGATAAATTAACTAGTTTATATATATATATATGGGACATGGATTTATATCAATATATATACACGTGGCATATGACTTAAAGTAATGAACAATTAATTTAATCAAATGCTAACTAATTATCATAATATGAAAATTGAAAACATTTTATTTATAAAAAAATGTTAACAGTGTATTAGCAAAAAAGTAAGAAAATCAGAAATTTTATAAACATATGTAATGAGCTATACATTTTTTTTAATGAAAAAAAAGTAACAACACTATTTTTTCTTAATTATTGTCCAGACAGATGTTGCACAAATGTAAAGTCATCTCATTGACTTGTATATTCAGCTTCTCATTTTTATGAACAACCAAAAAATGAAGATTTAAGGGGACCATGAGAGATCAGAGTAGAAAGGTGAAAAAATGTTATCTTCAAGAACATGCCAGAAAGAACTCTAAATTCTTTTTCACCCTATGAAAGACAAGATTATTGAGTTATATTTCTTTTTGGCATCTCAAATACCATGTAACTTGTGCATTTCTTCTCTCTGATGGTATCCAATCTGCTCCCAGGGAGGCTTTTCCCGTTTAAATATATATATATATATATATATGATAGATGGAAAAATATTGAAGTACATTGCAATAATGACCAAATTAAAGTACCAGGTACTCACCCCTGTCAAAGCAGGACAACGCAAAGTTACCTGAGCTAGCTTTTAACCGGCTTCAGATGGGTATTCTGGATTGCAAAGGCGAAACTTTGGTCGTGAGGAATATTGGGTTTGTTCTGCTGCTTTTAAAGAAGCTCATTGGGAATCTGTCTCCTATATGAGGTTAGAGCTCACACGCATCACCTATCCCTCGACTAGTTTAAAAATTGTTTTCTCTATGTAAGTCTGTCTGAGTTGTTATATGCATGGTAAATATTAACTCCTAATTTTAGGTATGTTGATGCATATAAAAGAAAGTATGCCGAACAGTTAAAATATTATTTGTTGACGTTGAGTTCTTACCATCTAATATATATATTCCCCCTTTTCCCTACAACTGATCAGTCAGTAGAATGAGTTTTAAAATATTTTCCCGTCTCATGGCTTTCCCACAGTGGTCTGTCTGTCCTATCATGACTTCAATGTATATATATCTTTAGGCTGGCCAGTTAGTAATCAGTTCAACACATATAGGGTGAGAGCTCCAAGACTTATTCGTCTCATGACAGCTTGAGGTTTATACAATGTTATCAAAAGCAAAAAAAACTATAAGGTCTATTGGGGCTTTAAGCGTAAAACATAAATAAAATGTGCACTACTTTAATGGCATTAAGCAAGGCAAAAAGCGCTCGACACAATGGAGAAGTTCTATTCTCTGCTGGAAGAAGCTTGTTTCTGTTAAAGCTTTAGGAATAATTCACATGTAAGATAATTATGAGCTTGCATATTCATGTTTCCGGCACTGGTTTAGTGACTTCTGTACTTTTAGTATTAACACTTGACAAAAGAGCAAACACAGATCCTTGCCTACTTTGAATAGTTTATATTTAGCATTTGGGATTATAGGTCCCATTTAACATCGAAGCTCAATGTCCATAAATGATATTGTATTTTTCTATTAGGACAGCAGTTGTAGTTTTAATTTGGGAAAAGGTGTTTCACGTGGTTGATGAGAAATGTTCAAATTTGGCAAATGACATATATTTGGTACTAGCAACAACACCTTTGTGATACTGTTCTTCTTCCGTTTACATAAATATTGATCATCATATGGATTAAACCTCATTTTTATTTTCTTTTCTTTTCGTTCCACTATTTGTGTGCAGGAGTTTTATGCTTTAAAGAGAAGATGTTCTGGTTAGGATGGAAATTTCAAGTGCTTTTGTTTTTTGTTGCGGTACGTATTAGTGGCTTCTAGACAATTTCCCTGGTCTTCCTTACTGTTGTGTATGCACAAGTTGCAACTGTAATCATATATAGTTGATTTAGATGGCTCTCTAACTTCCAGAATTGCTTTCATTTTACCATTCATTTCAAATATAGTGCTTTGCATCTAATTAATCCGTTTTCACCTGTGCCTATTTATTAGTATCTAAGGGTTCTATTTTTAGCGGTAAAAAGTAATGATGAAGATTTTTTGGGACTCATTTCTAATTTCTCTATAGCCAGTGCTAGCTAGTCACAGTTCTGATTTATTATCATGTGCAAATAGGTTCAAAAAAGTTGGTGACTTGGGTGTTGGTTCATAAGCTGAAGGAACCTCATACAACTGGGGCTGCTTCATAATGCATAAAGACTGACTAACAACTTTCCTGCTAGGCCTCTTCATGTCATATTGAGCTGTTGAATACTTAAGTGTCTTATATTATATTATCTGGAGCAAAAGAAACATTTTTCAGGCTATTTGGGTAAGTGTTCACTAATTTCCTTTTCGTACATGCCTCTGAATTAAACACCTATTTTCTGATTTAAGAATTGTAAAAGCACTAATTAGGTCTTGGATGTTTCCAGCAGATAGGAAACACAGGAGGTAATGTATCTGCTCCTTTGAGCAATTCCTTCATCCAATGTGAGAATGAATACATATAGATTGTGCTGGATGTTGTCGATCAATTCCAGCTAGGAAGTAACACGAGAACTGCAGCATGAACCAGCTAGACTACCTATCAGATAAAAATCTCAATTGTATCTGTGCATTTTGAATTTTGATGAGAAGATTTGTACTCCCATGAGGCGTGAGCAATTAAACTTCACCGCTTTGTGCCAGTGGCCTGATGCTTCTTCAAGTGCTGAAATCCTCTTAACAAGTTCTACTTTCTGCAAAATTTGATGTCTTTTTGAGTTTCAAACATGCTTAAGAGCTTCTGCTATGTACTTAAAATGATTGTTATGTGATATTCATTCTTTTGGAATTTGATGTTTTCCTTCATGTAAGTAAGATGATATTTGTGTGATATTTATTCTTTCAAGTTTGATATTTATATTGGATATTCCTCAGCCTTAAAATGTTTCAGGTCAAAAAGGAAGAGAAGAATGTTACAAGAACAGTACTTAACAGTATAGTGGGAACGTTGGACCTGTCCATCCGCAAATTTGTACAAAGGGAGAGATACCCAGGGGTACCAACTTAAGCAAACTTTTAGATAATTGTTGATTTCTAAATGCATATTCTTTTATTCTGTGATTGGACTTAGCTGTTGGCCTGGACTAGTGTAATTTGATTATATTGCAACTTTGCATATGTTGCTATGTCTAAAAAAATGGGGATGCCTACATCTTTGCATTTATTATTGTTGTAGTTACTATTCCGTTTTAGAATGCTTCGTCATACTTTCTAATTCTATATATAGTATTTTTCCATGATTTATTCACTTATGTTATTTCCTTTTCGATCTGCTTTGATATGCTTTTCCTTGAGTCGAGATTTATCAGAAACAACCTCTTTGCCTCCCAAGGTAGGGGTAAGGTCTCAATTCTGCAATAGGAGAAAAAGGAAGAAGAAAAGCTTATACTGTACTTTGTTTCCTTATGTTGAAGTGAAGGTAAATGTGTGTACTAGATTTTGCTGAACCTGCTTGAAGAAACCTTACCCAGTATTCAAACACCAGGTTCTTGAATAATACACACAAGATACTTACGTTAATGACGGTAACACCAAAATATTGTGGAAACCTTCCTAACTCAAGGAAGGGAAAAACCACACAGAGTTTTATATTAATTCAACAATTACAACTCAGTAAATCGATGAATCTAATCTCTAAACGTCTACCCTTTCGATTAACTATAATCGAAAACACCCTCGACTCTCCAAGAAGTCAAACTCGGTTCTTGGTTACAAAAACTCTCAATCTCTCTACTAACTCTAACCCTCACAAGAAGTCAAACCCACTTCTTGTTTACAATTCTCACACACTCTCAAGACTCTCACAAACACTGATCCAAGGACAGATCAATGCGACTCAACTATTCGAAAGTAATTCTAACTCTAGAATTCTTTCATTTCTACCTCTAGAACACTTTGGCCTTCACTATGACTCTCTCTCTTTCTCTTGTTCTCTCTTTTTTGAATTATGCAAATACAAATTTTTCTATCTGGCTCGTTGTCCTTTTATAGACTCTGAACTATGTTAGACTCTGACTTGTATAAGGAGAGGAATTATAGTTGTATTTGGAAAGAATTTCGATTCGTTTAATTGTAAACCTTTTCCTTTTATAACTTGGCTTGCCATGTCTCCTTATTCATGCAAGACTTCTTTTGCTGATGCTTTTCCCTTTCTAACTCAACTTTCTTTTTAGCGCGAGAACTCTTCCTTTTTTATTTTAGTTTATTTAGCCTTTGAATGATAAGCTTTGCAGGGTGAACCTGGTTCACTGTGTCGATCATCAAAACTGTATTTGATTTATCAATTTCCCCATTTTTGATGATGGCAAATCTACACCCTATTTCCTGTGCAACATCAATACTGTTTCTACAGAATAATAACTATTATATCTTCCCTCTTTTGGCATATCAAAAAGAAGAGGTGAGTGCAAAACAGAAACAAGTTAGATCAAAACTCAGAGTCCGCATGGACAACACCTATAGAAAGCAGAACACAAGTCAAGAACAATCTAATGATATTAGCCATCTGAAGCCAAGGTAACACAAACATATCACACGCAGGAACATAATAGTTAGATACATCAGATAGCACTTAGAGTTTTAAGCTCACAACGAGCTCCACCAAAATATCCATCAAAAGAAAAAACACAAAATAACATGACATTGTATCAACAGTGATCAAAGGAGAAAAGATAGATTGGCTAAGATGTTGAAGGAAAGGGATGGGATAAAGGTTGGGACAAAGCAAGGAGTTGAAGCACACGGTCCACACGAGCATTAGATTAATTTTATTATTCCGCCAGCTGATCTTTTAGACGAGCAACTTCCCCTTGTGACACAGCCAAAGCATCACAAGAGACTTCAAGTTCAGCACATAGAGCCTCATTCTGTTCCCTAGCAGCATGAAAATCATTAAGCAGGGTAGCAACTGGGCCAAGAACATGAGGTGGAACAGCAGGAGCTTGATTTCCTTCATTCAACAATCGACAGGTAGCAAGAACGGGTCTGGCGATCATATCACAGCTTACCAAAGCTCTACCCTCACCCAAAGGTACATCAAAAGCCCTAAACATAGTGGTAAGAAGATTTCCAAAGGCTAATTAATGAGCACCAGGTTTAGGATCGATCACCCTAGCCATTTGTTTAATCATTAGGGAGGGCCAGTCAATAAGATCCTTATTTTCAAGTGCATGAGCAATCCCCATATCCCTAAATGAAGCCTCATGTCGTCGCTCACCCCTAGGCATAATACTTTTATGGACCAACTCAAACATTAGGTTATGGAATGGGGACATATCCCCTTTGAGGACCTTTCTATCCCTAGGCGTAACCCTGCCCTGAGAAAACTTGGAAGTTAACAAACAATTAACATCTCCAGTCCATACATACTTAGACAACCCAACAGTGGGTATATGAAAGATTTCACCAAGTCTAACAGAATCAAACACCAGTTCCACACCATTGACAGTGGAAGTGACCACCGATCCCTCTAACACATTAAGGTTGGTATAGAACTCTCGCACCTCCTTTTCATACAAAGGCACCCTAGTGTCCAGAAACAAATCAGCCCATCCCTGAAAGTTAAGCAGTTCTAAAACCCTTAAGACTACCCCTATAGTACGAATTTCAGGATGAAAGGTTCGACCCCTAAGAACCTTCTTGGACCCAAAGTATTTCTCCTTTCCCAAGGCCAGGTACTTGGCCAGATTTTTGTTAATTTTGGTGGATTGGGGAGAGTTAGCCGTAGGAGAGGATGCAAATATTGTTTCAGTTTCAGAATCCAGAAGGACGGGTGAGGAGGGCGGGGGAACCAGAGACTTACCTGTTGGTTTTCTCTTCTTACTAGATTTTGCTGCTTCTTTCATCTAAGCCTGACTCACACTTCGAGTAAATGGGACATGTATGTGAGTCCTCTTGACAACAATGTGTTTTCGTGGTCATCGGGGGATCTTGGGATGAAGCTGGCTGAGTGGGATATCATCAAGATGGGGGTCTTTAGGGTTAGTAGGTGGTGGTGGAAGAGGGGTCGGTGTGATAGTGGGAATTAGGGTTTCAACTGGAGATGGCGGTGGAGAAATCGAGTAGTGAGGAATGGGGTTTTCGAAGTGGGGAGCGATGGTGAAGGGGGTCGCTGGAGGCATATGCCGGCATTGGAGATAGTGGACGAGTAGGCAAGGGGGATTTCTGAGGAGATTCTAGCAGTGGGTTTGTAGTGAAGTATCAGTTGAGAACCCACATTCCCCCTGAGATGATACGATGGGTGACGCTGGTAATGATGAGTGTGCCGGTGAGTCAGAGGAACTTTCGTCATGTGAGTAGGCGACGGGGGTAAGCAATGGTTTTCTGCTTGCCTTTTTTTTTCTTTTGGTTTGATGAAATCTGTAGTGTTTAGTCTTGGAGTGTTTGGGATTAGTGGAAGGTGGAGGTGGTGGACAATGTTTGGAAGGAAATCTTGGGAAATGAGATGTAATGATGATAGTCTAACATTGATGGGAGGCGTGAGTGATGGTTAAGTGCCCGGGGAGGTGTATATAAAAAATTGACGGGGGTTTTAAATGGTGGGTCATCTTTATTTCCCGCGTAAATCATAAAGGTTGTATGGGAGAACATTTGAGTGCACCAGGTTCTTTTAAGAGTGTAACAAGGTCATGTATATAAGTGCAATGCAAAGATGAATACAGAGGAGGATTAAGTGAATACCTGGTGAGAGGAGAACATGTTCCTAGCAATATGAGCAGTCTTGTACCAAGGCTAGAAGAAACTAAGGGTAATATCATTAAACTTTTTATCAACATGTTGTGCTTCATATGGTTGTATACCTGCAACAGGTACCGAGATGAGTTAGAAGTGAACAAGTGTTATGGTTTTATAGATCACCTTATTTAAGATAAGCCTGAGAGTGTCATGGGGGCATGTGTTAATCTTGAAACACCAGCCCTAAGGCTAAATGATTCTTTTGAAAAGGTTCACGTCCAAGGGCTATGGTGAAGATGTCAACAACCTGGTCCTCAGTTTTGCAGAAAGTCATGATGATGAACCTTTTTTCAACATTGTCACAGAGAAAATTATGCTTGATATTTATATGTTTGGTTCGTTTATGTTTGACCGGGTTCTTTGCCATATTGACATCACTTGTGTTGTCGCACATGATGGGTATGCATCCTGCGTTAATTCGAAAATCCTCCAGTTTTTATTTAATCCATAATAGTTGTGCACAACAGGATGCGACAACCACATATTCAGCCTCAGCAGTGAGAGGGCGACTGGATTTTGTTTTCTTGTTGCCCAGGAGACGAGAGAAGGCCCTAGGAAGTGAGCCATTCCAAATGTACTTTTTCTATCCACCAGGTAACCTGCATAGTTTGCATCTGCAAATCCTATTAGATCGAAGGATTCTCCTATTGGATACCATAAAACTAGGTTCAGTGTCCCTTTAAGATATCTAAGTACCCTTTTCACTGCTTTTAGATGAGATTCTTTTGGACGAGACTGAAATCGAGCACATAGCCCCACGCTGAATACACTGTTAGGTCTACTGGCAGTTAGATACAAAAGTGGCCCAATCATTCCTCTGTATTTGGTATTATTTACTGGGAACCAGTTTCATCCTTTTCAAGCTTGGTTGCTGTTCCAATGGGAGTATCAATTGATTTGGCCTCATCTATCTCAAATTTTTGTAGCAATTCTTTAAAGTATTTTTGTTGATTTATTGAGGTCCCCGATGAGGACTGTTTGATTTGAAGACCTAAGAAGAAGTTTAATTCACCCATCATGCTCATCTCAAATTCACTGCTTATTAATTTTGTGAATTCAACTCCAAGTTCAGCATCTGTTCCTCCAAATATGATATCTCTACGTATACTTGAACAATGAGGAGGTCATTACCTTGTCTTCGAAGAAAAAGTGTATTATCTATTTTTCCTCTTGAATACCCATGTTGGACACACGATTGTACCATGCTCTTGGTGCTTGTTTTAGCCCATATAGTGCTTTGTCTAATTTATAGACAAATTCAGG